CATGATCACTTCTTTTGGAGCTTGTTTTACACAGATGTATTTTGTTCATTCTTTGGGAGCTATTCAGTCTTTAAACTTGCTGATGATGGCTTTGGATCGTTTTGTTGCCATATGGTTTCCATTCAAATATCCCATTTTATTTACAAACAAAGCAGTGGCTATTGCTTGCACCATGTGCTGGGTTTTAACATTTATACGTTTGCTGGGAATTGTGCTTCATGCCTTAACTTTACCTTACTGTGACCAGAATATTATCATGCAGTGTTACTGTGATCATATATCAATAACAAGGCTGGGTTGTGGTGATGGGCTGGCATATGTGAACAGTGTTGCACTTGCTAATGCAATGGTCACTCTCCTGGTTCCTTTAACATTCATAATTTTATCCTATTTTTCTGTCATCATAGCTGTTCTGAGGATGTCTCAAACTGAGAGACGTCACAAAGTGCTGTCCACTTGTGCCCCTCAACTCTTTATTACCTGCCTTTACTATGTGCCAAGATGCTTTGTTTATATTGCTAATGGTGTAGGATTCAATTTTAATCTTGTTATTCGGATTATTATTACAATGATGTACAGCCTCATACCTGCTGCTGTTAATCCAATCATATACTGTTTCAAGACTAAAGACATCAAAAATGTTTTGATGCGGAGATTTAAAAAAGGAAAAGTGAGCACTGGATTAAAAACTGAATGCAAATAAATCTTTACAAAATCCAAACAGTACAACACCGAAGAAGTCTTATAATCAGGCTGTTATCTTGGCTTTCTGTAATAAATAACAAGAGTATTTGGTTCTGAAACAACTGACACTACGTCATATGACCACTAGAGGTCACTTTACAATAAGTTTTAAAACTAATTGGCTCAGTATATTTGATGGAGTGAAGACCGAGGTACACTTTTTATTTGCAAAAAATAATTTTCATTTCCCAGGAGGGGAAGACAGGGCATGTAGAAGGTGGGGAAATATAGTTTTTTTTTTTCCAAATTTAGTGAATTCTTCAGCTGCCTTTGAAAGATGTTTTTGAAAATAAATATATTTATTCATTTTAAATTTTAATTTTTACATTATATATGATTTCAAATTTTACTCTCAATGAGAATAAATTTCCCAATGAAAAAATAACCAGGGTTGCATTTTTTTTAAACCTGTCCTGTCCAGCAGTTGTAGCAAGCAGACTCTGTTATTATTCATAGTTTTATCTGATTGGATATTATGCTGGCACAGACAGGGGGTGAAGGTCAGATTGGCAAAAGGTAGGCGAAGAGGGGGAATAGAAAAGCAGAGAAATAGAAAGCAGAGGAATTGAAAAAGAAAAGGGAAGAAAGAAAGGGAGAAAAAATGGGGTTAGGGGAGGCGGGAGCAAAGGATGAACACACATGCTGGGTCTCCAGTTCCCGCATTTGTAACAAAGCACATTCAGACGACACAACAACAAATACACAATTTTACTCCCCCAAGCCAGTGGTTGTCAAGGAAAGAAGAGACCCTGGCTGTCCATGGCCCCCAAGAGAGCTGAAGATCTGAGTCCATATCCTGATGACAGCCGTGCATCCACCCCAGGTTAGCGAAAAGGGAGGCCGCGGATGGAGCTCTCGCAGCCAAGGGCAGGAGTGCCAGGGGACCAGAGGCAGCAGGAAGTTGCCCTAGACTCACCTAACTCCAGCCGACCCCTCACCGTGCCACGAAGAGGTCTAAGCCACCCTGTATCTATAATCCACAAGCAACCAGGCCAGCAACCACGCCAAAACAGCCCATCAAGTGTTACCAGGTGATATCCTTAATAATATTAATAATATTTTATCACTGAATTTTAGAAAATTAAGATACACGTGGGTATATTGAAGGTATGTGCAGGAGATTGTTTATTTATTTGAAAATTCTAAATGTTACAGGACATTATAGACTGAAACTGAGACTCTCACAGCAGATTTCCTTATCTCTTTAGTAGGGATGGGTATCGTTTAGGTTTTATCCGATACCGGTGCCAAACCGGTACTTTTGAAACGGTGCCGGTGCCTAAACGGTGCTCAAACTGGTGCTTAAAGAATGGAGAACACAAATTTGGTCCTAAAACCGCTCATGTTCAGCTGTTTTTTTGTAAAAAGATAACAATGTTAGCCTTTTCTGCAGCTATGGGGCATATATGGCATCACTCTTGGCTGGAAGCAGTGCTTAATCAATGGAAAAAACACAAACTTTGTCCAAAAACCTCTCATGTTTAACTGTTTTCCACTTTTTCTTTGGTCATTTTAGCCTTTTTGGCCAGGGTGAAGGGAGTATCTGCCATCAAACAAGAAGACAGCCGCATGTAGCTATGATGATGTTTGCTAGTTCACCTTACCTGCATTAATGTAATAACGTGGTTAGCCTACTCAACGTAAATTACACACGAACAACATTAAGCTACTCACGCAGAGAAGAACGGCTGCTGCTGCATCATCATCCGTCATCATTTCTGCTACACTGGCAGGGCTAGGGGCCAGGACTCTCTCTTCGGGTTTTTGGGGGATGTTGCTAACTCCGGGTCCGATAACAGGCACCACACCCGCAGTAGATGTGCTCGGTGTGAGGTCTCGCAGCAAGCTATCAAATACGGCGCATTTCTCGGCTTTTAAAAAAAACGCTATGCGTCGCCAGGTGTTTCATCGGATTTGAGGTGTTACCTCCTTTGACAGTATCACAGTATCAGCTTAAAGCACTTGTTGCAGGCTGCTGAGTTTGCATCTTTTGCTGTGAAGTACAGCCAGACTTTTGACCGCTTCGCCTTGGACATTTTTAATCTGTAGCTCTGCTCTAAAAGAACGTACGTACCTGGCCCCGCCTACTATCCTCGGAAACGTAAAATGATTGGCTAGAATCTAAAGTGTATCACAGCTCAGGAAAAAAAAGCACCGAAATAAAGCACCGAAATGTGCGCTGCTTTTCGGTCTGGTTACTACCGTTTATGTCAGAACCGGTGCCATCATGGCACCGGACACCGGTACCCATCCCTACTCTTTAGTATAAACCTTCCTTTTGCATGTTTTAACTAGTTCCCTATTCCCAGTATGCAAACAGCATCTTCGTGCAGCATCAAAAAACTGATTAAAAAACAATCGGTGAGAGAAATATGTCTAGATATTGAGAACAATTTGAAGCCTATGAACAATTTTATTGTCCATTAAGATTAAATGCTGTTATTGATCTATGTGTGTTCATATAAAGTGAACTGTGAGACAAAATCTCTGGCTATTCTGAAGATACATAATTAACTTTTACCTGACAAGTCTTTAAAGATAACCAGCAACAAATTGATGAAGTAAAAATGAACAGGTTCATGGTCCACTCAGTAATTAATTTATGTTGTTATGTTATTGATCAAGTAGACATTTTAACTATAGATAATAATATCAAAAATTCTAAAATGTGCAACAGTTAGACTATCCAGATGAAACCTTTGTTAAATCTATATGGGTGATATGAAAATCAAATAATTTCTTCTATGTCACTTTGCATGTCATTACTATTACTGGCTTCACTGGATAGGCATGCAATATCTTCAAATACAGGGGCATAGCTGCTAAAAGGTAGGTGCATATTTAAAATATTTTCCCACTGCTCAAATATACCTAAGGGAATACTCTCTGGGTTGAAAGGTAGGTTCTGTTGTTGCCTTAATGAATGGTCATGTATGTAATTCCCACCAGTGACAACAGAAAACTGTCTGAACTCAGACTCTGAGCACATAAGCATGCCTTGTGTTTCACTATCACATGAGTCATCCACCATTGTGATTTGGTCTGTGGCTGTACATTTCAGAGCTGACTGATGCAATGTTTTTTTCACAGGTGTGTTTAGCTTGCTAATTTCTTCAAAAGTGAGACATTGCATTGGCTCCAGGAATTCTGGCTGTATGAATCTCTTTGTGTAACAAGAATCTGTCTGCTGGGACTGTTTTGAATGAAACTTATTCAGCAACTGTTCATTTATCAAAGTAACATTTTGAGGCTTTGGGGAGCTTTTGTCATCACTAGAGCTTTCTTTCTTATATCCTGCAAACAGCATCTTCAAATCTCCCCACTGTTTCGGATCAGCTTTCACACATTTTGAGCTGTATAGATGCTTCTGCCAGCTGAGTTTCAGTGAGGTATCATCTGAATGAAATGCACTACAGATGCTGCTGATTTCATAATACTCAACCTCACTCTTTGGTAATGGCTGAACATTTGACAGACTGTTATCACAGTATATCTCTGCACTTGACTTTGACTGATTGGTACTCATGAGGTCAGGTCTGTTCCCTTTTTCTGGTGACAGAGCTTCTGTGGGCATTGTGTTGTCATCAAACGAAAATGCTTTGTTGTCTGCCCCATGCTCTGTTTTCACCGGTAAGCTCGCACTCTGACATCTTGAATGAGAATGTCTTACTTTGTAAAGGCCAACACACATTACTGCAATCACCAGAATGGCAATGAGAGGAAGAACCACGGCAATGAGCCACAGTGGCAGGTTGCCTTGCATTTCAGAGCAGTGATCATGGCTATCCTTTGTGGAGATGCATATATCACAGAAATGGTCAGTAACATTGTGTAAACAGATGCAGGAGTTGTTCTGCACACCAGGTTCACATGTCCAGTGATTTTGACAGTGTGAGAGACAAGTCCTGCTGGGACCATCCTTCTCAGAGCATCCTGAAGGGAGGCAAAAATGTGGAAAGCTGCAGTTGGTCTGGGTGAGAGTCGAGCTTGGCCTGACATCCACCATTATGCTGTGTCCGCTGACAGGTAGAGAGTAACCTGTCACATTGAAATACTGCACACATCCACTGAACCCTGTCATAAAAAACAAAGCAGGTTCAGAGGTCCACTTACTTCCACGTTACTCCTTCAGTTTAACTTTACTGGTACATGTTGCTTTTAGAGTGATCAGTTTAAACAGGTAAGAAGATCCAGTCTGATTAAACAGTTATCCAAAACTCTCATCAAGTGCAATGACAAGACTGTATGCAGTGTATATTTTCTGGCCTTCATTTCACATGTTGTACAAAAGTTGGCATTTTAAAAACTTACTTTAAGAATAAACTTTACCTGATTGATTGACTGTTTCTCTTGTGGGAGCAGCACCAAGAGTGATCTTTTCTACGCTAAGTGGAGTGAGATCCATACTTTGGCCAGTGATGTTCAAAACTGGTTTACCATCCACAGAGAGGAAAGTGTTCTGTCCCCTGTTGAACAAGGAGAGGAGATGCCAAACCCCATCAGCCACAGGAGGGTCCACAGAGAAGTCTGACAGGTGTCCCAAAAGTGCATCTTCAAAAATGTAGACAGGCTTCTTGTCTTTTATCTGAATAAAGGGGAAAACAGTTTCATACTTGAATATAGAATACAAGACGTGTATATAGTTAAATGGATTTCACCTACCTTCAGCATAATATATGCTCTCTGTCCACGGATAAACATCAGCACACCATCATGTTTGGTCTTGAACTTGATGTTAATCGTTTGTTGGTCTCTGTTTAATCCCAAATTTTCATCCAAAATCTCTTTCATCAGGTAGTCTCTCTTAAATTTCTCCTTAATAACATAATCAATGTAGTCACTGCCATTAAATTTCAAAACAAGTTCCTCTGACATTTCTGTTTGAAAAAACAAAGTTTAAAAAAACTCAATTTAATCTTCTGCACCTGATTTTAAAACAGAAGCTGAATATCATATGCACTATTATTTATACCTTTGTCACAGTTTTTTCCTGTAAAAGGGCTTTTGCACTCGCAAAAATAGTTGGACCAAAGGTCATGACACACACCACCATTCTTGCATGGGACACTATAGCATAATGACACTGCTGCTCGAGGACACCTAAAGATAAACAGTAAGACATTTTATATATATATATATATATATATATAACCAGAGAGATAGAAGGCAGGAGAATAAACCAGTATATATATATATAACCAGCAATGTTTAAAGTATAAAGACATCTACATGCACTAATTTTAATAAGCCTGCCTGTCAAAGATGTTATATGCCGCTAGGGCCATTGAGGGTCTCAGGAGGATGCCATTAACATGAAAGTTTCGGATACATCCAACAAAGTCATGGGTTCTTATCTGAGAAGGATGCACTAAAATAGCTTCAGTAGTTCTTAATCCTCCAAAGGTCATATTACTGTTGCCAACATCAAGTGTCCTATTTGGCGATAAAGACAAAGAAAGAAAAAAATTGAAAAACGAAAAATATTGCTTACATGAAGATGAAAATTAGAAATGAGGACTATTCCAATTAAATATTTCACTGCTACCTTTCTGAAATAATTCCATCATTCGTTGAAAAACAGAATCTATTGTTTTCGTCATCCGTGCAGTTGTCCACATGCAGTGAACCCATCTGTGAAATGCAATAAAGATATATGAATGTAACTCAAATTCAATAAAATATGCTAATGTATTAAAGTACTCAGATTACTTTTTCAATGAAGAAACAAAACATTACTTCTGCAGTTCAAGTAAATAGTTATTTTTCTTATTTAAATAAATAATCCATTGATAGTAGACATACTATTAGCCACTTTGTTGGGTACAACAGTCAAACTCATTGTTAATCAACTAATCATGGCAGCACCTCAAGGGATTAAGGCAACAGAATGGGAATGTAAGATGATTTAAATGACTTTAAACATAGCATTGTTGTTGGTGCCAGTTGGGCTGATCTAAGTGTTTCAGAAACTGCTGATCTAAAAGATCAGTATACTCAGAAGTAAATGTATTGCTAAGTTGCTCATGTAATGCAAAGTACTCTAATGAATAAACATTTCTCTGCAGGCAACCCTGTAACCTGGCAGTTGGTTTTTTTTTGTTGTTGTTGTTGTTTTTTGTAAATCTCTTATACTGATATATTTAAAACTCACACTGCCAATCCTCCTGGCAATAACACTGTGAAAATATCCATCTGCAACTTGCTTGTATGTTTGCAACCTCACAGGTCCTGAACCCAGATCATAAGAGAGATGTACTGCTCCATCCAGTATCTCCAGTGCAAAGAACTCTCTGCTGTTTGAACCTCCTGGATTGTAGAGGAGGAGGGAGTCCCTCTGCATTGTGGCAAACTCCAAAGAGATTAAATTAGTCCTACGATCCAGTGGTGGAAACTCCATGAAGGACAGCTCCTCAAAGCCATAACTGTGATCCTCACACCGGACTCCACTGACTCCTAACATAAAGATGAGTTCCATATTATTTTTTCCCATTTAATTTTTAGAAAACCTCTTAGCATAGTTCATATATGCGCATAAACAGATAGCATATATAGCCACTGATATCACCCATTGAGGTCTTAGGCTGAGCATTTTGCTGTTGCTATTTTGGTGTTTTGAAACTGTATAACAAGCAAACGGTGGATCTTGCTGATAATGCAAGGAATACTTCATATAGACAAGCTTTATCTTTCTTCTGGACACTAATATGCATCATAGTTTACACAATTAATCTCATCTTATATTCAGTATGACATGAAACTAGTGGCTCAGCCGGAATCTCATGAGGAAAGCTTTCATAGACCAAGCGAGCTGAGAACATCTTTTGCACCCAGAGGAGTCACAAACTGGTACACATGACAATGAATGCAGATTTAAGTCAATTCTGTACTGGTTTCACTTTTTAGACAGAAGCTACGTACATCTGCTGTGGATGAAAATAAACACACACACACACAAAAAAACAGCCGTTCTTTAAATGGCTACTTGACACTGGCTCCAAAAATCAGTCTGTTCCCATTGACTTGTATGTTTTAAAATAATCAACTTAAGGATAAAATTAACATGATTATAGCCAGGTACAGAACATGAGTTTGGTCTCAATAGTTAATTTCTCTTTTTTTTTAACCACTGTACACCACCTTTGGTGATACAACCACTCTTGAATTTTGTTAAACTTCAAGTTAGGGGTAGTCACTTTGATTGACAGATGTGTTGACAAAGTTACGAGCCATAAAGTAGAGGCCTGTACATAGGTCAGTGGATAAATGACCCTTTGGTACCCATGCTTCGACCTCAGTAAATATTTTTGTGTTGATTTTATACTTATTTTGTAAATTGTGGCCCCAGTTAGAGTCAAGAAGGAAAATAAAGCAGGGCATGCTTTAGGCCTGATTTAGATCTTTGTAGAGCCTACAGTGTAACCTACATGTGTCCAAGGGGACTGAGGAGTTTGCACTTATGTTGGAGGTTACATTGTGAAGTTTCCAGTTGAAGCATGCATAAATTAGGTGTTAGAGTGGGTTTACCTTGTGACTGGCGAGTTATTACTCTTCCTGGATTAAAAATGATGCTAAAAAATGCTCAGCTTAAAGCTTCACAATGAGACATAACTAAAGAGTGGGTGTCATCAGCTTTGCTATGTCCATCATTCGTATACAGTTTGTTACAAGCAACCCTTTTTTTCTAAATATATGCAAGAAAGTGTGTCTTTCCTAAGATTTTACACTTTTGTAGACAAATGTACATCTAGCATTATGTATCATTCTTACCAAAGTGACAATTACAAGAGAATCCTGTTTGTGAATTAATGCAGATACCATGAACACAGGGTGATGATTTGCAGTAGTCTATGAACTCATCACAGGTTTCTCCTGAAACAATTAAATTAAAAAAAGAAGTTTTATTTTAAAAAACAAATTAACAGTTGGTTCTCACATATTAATTTTTTTCCTATCTATCTATACATGAGAAAATGTACCTCCAAATCCAGGCACACAGTGGCACTGATATCCATCCTCGGAGGGGATACAAGTCCCACCATTTTGGCACTTCACCTTCAGGCATCCATTGACATCAGCAGCGCAGTGGGAACCAGAGAAGCCAACCTGACAGTGACAGAAGAAACTTCCCACTGTATTCACACATGTGCCTTTATTCTCACAGGGATTTAGCTCACATTCATCAATTTCTTCTTCACACAGTGAACCAGTAAATCCGGATGGACAAGTACAGTTAAAAATCTCTTTCTTTGGTGCAACAAAGATGACCGCTACACTTTCAAGGACAGCAACCTCCTGGCTGATGTAAATATTTTTGTGGCATGATGCTCCATTTTGACAAGGGCTGCTCAGACATGGATCACTGGTGATGTGAGAAATTGTCACATTGCTCTGAGCCTCCAGTAATTTCTTGTGTCCAGATGATATACCACTCGCCACCTCTCTGCTAAGGTACTGACCGTTGTAATTTTTGACTGCAGCCAACAGAAGGATTTCCCACCCAATATGTTTGATTCCAAATACATGAGTCTTAGAGGCTTGTAGGTTAAACAGACTATCCAGAGCTTTTACAAACCTCAAATAGTTATTAGACAAAAACTGCTCTACTGAAGATGATGACACATAGAATAATATACAATTGTCTATAGAAGCGTTTGTAAAACCTTTGTAGTTAACGTAGACGCTGTTGTTTACGGGAAAGTGCAGCTGGTCTGTAGCTTCAATGGAGATGTTAAACGTAGCTTCGCCTTGAAAGGGAAAAGACCACAGCTCACATGTGCCATTAAGGATTGTGAACATGTGAGTTGGCCCACTTTTGATGGTGCAGTTGAATCTGTCAGACTCATCCTGATCCTCAGGATGGACATTACCAATCATGCCACCTTGGAAAGAACTACCAAAATATTTCACCTCAATAAAGATATTTCTTGCCATTGAAGGGTTGTCGTTTTCATCCACAACCCTGATGTGGAAGGTTGATGTTGATGATAGTGGCAAGGGAAATCCTGAATCCCTGACAGCCACAAGCACTTGATATGCAGAGATTTGTTCCCGATCAATTGGGCGGGTGGTGAGCAGAACTCCATCAGGAGTGAGAGAAAAAGCACTGGCCACCGAGGAGTCTAATAACCAGTACATAAAAGGGCCTTGGTTGGGTGGTAAATCAGAGTCAAATGCAGTTAATTTAGTGACTATGGTGCCTTCAGGTTGATTTTCTCTCACATGAGCTTCAGTTGATGTGAGTTTGGGGGCATTGTCATTAATATCACCAATAGTCACAATGACATTAGTAGTCCCAGTGGCTGGTGGAGAGCCATTATCTGTGGCTATAACAGTAAGATTATAGACTGGCCAGACTTCTCTGTCCAGTGGAGAATTCACAGAAATGATACCATTAGATGGATCAATAGAGAAGGAGAAATTTGTGTTTCCATGCTCAATGGTGAAGAAGAAATGATTCCAGTTAACAATGGAGTCCTCGTCCACAGCACTCACAGTTGCAACAGATGTCCCAATTGGGGTGTCTTCTGTAACATTCGCCATATAGCGGGGAGATGTGAACATGGGAGCTTCATTTGTGTCAATCACACTGACGTGGACAAAAGTCTCATCTATATCTGTGCCAGTAATAACACCAGAGTTCTTGGCCAGAACTTTCAAAACTACATGGCTGTTGCCTTGTTTCCTCAAACTATTGGTCGTATATACGTCTCCAGAACGTTCGTGAATTTCAAAGCTCTTTTTTTTTTTCCTGGCAAACAAAAAGTAAAACACTTGACCTTCAGAGCCTCGGTCACCATCTGTAGCCATCACTTTTCCAACAACAGTTCCAATAGGCACGTTTTTAAGTACTGAGAAGTTAAATTCTTTTTTGATGAATCTAGGCGTGAACTCATTAACATCTGAGATTTGGATGACAACATGTGCTAAACTAAATAAAGCATGTCCTCCAGTATTGGAACCTTTGATTGTTAAATCAAACATCTGCTCTTGCTCATAATCAAACATGGCCAAAGTGGTGATGGTGCCATTTCCTGAATCAATTGCAAATTTATCTATATGGCCACCAATGAGAGAGTAGAATATTTGTGCATTTACACCTGAGTCAATATCTGTGGCTGTTACATCGAGAACATTCATTCCAACAGCTGAGTTTTCACGAACTGATGTTATGTACTCTGAGGATGAAAAGACTGGGGGATTGTCGTTCACATCCATGACTAACACCGTGACATTTAATGTGCCAGTTTTAGAGAACCAGCCCTCATCTTTAGCTTTAATTTGGAAATGATAAATACTTTGTTCTTCAAAGTCAAGCTCTCTGATCAGTGTTATCAGTCCTGAAAATTCTCCCACAGATAGTGGTAAAAATTGATTTTCTGGGGTAATGTTGTATGTGATCTCCCCATTGGGACCATAATCCCCATCTTCTGCTTGAATATTTCCTATTACTGATCCTACAGGCAGGTCCTCAGGGACAGAGAAAGTAACATAAGATTCGCTAAAGCTCGGAGTAAATTGATTCCTCCCAGTAATTTGGAAAGTGATTTCAGCTTGGGATGTTAAAGGGGGGGTGCCCTCATCTTCAACCACAGCTATTAAAGTGAGGATCTGATTTTCATTCTCTCCTAAAGTCTGATTTAAAATTAGTTTTCCAGTGTCACCTTGAATCCAAAAGAAATCAGATGCATTTCCTCCATTCAAAAAATACTTAATGCTACTATTGCCATTGACATCCAGATCTACTGCTGTAAACTGGACCACCTCACTTCCCACAGCCAGGTGATAAGGAATAGCCATCAAGGGTTGTAAAGGGAAAAACATAGGAGGGTGGTTGTTGTAGTGTTCTAATCTTACTCTGATAGTGACATTACTATGTAGGGGGATACTGCCACGGTCAAAAGCAGTAACCATAAATTGATAGATTTCAAAATTACAGTCACGTAACATCATGGGCTGCTTTGTATAGATTTCACCAGTGGTAGCGTTCAGCCAAAACTCCTCATGTGGAGGGTCAATAACATAGAAAATCTCACTGTTTTTCCCAATGTCTGCATCTGTAGCAAGAATCTGCAAAACAAACGCCTCTTCATCTTTTGTTTCAGGGAGGATAATGCTATAGAAATGTTCAGAAAATACTGGTCTGTTATCATTGACGTCTAAAATGACTATAGTCACATCTGTGCTTATACTCCATGCTGAATCATTTGCACTTACTTTAAGGATATAATGATCCTGCATTTCCCTGTCCAAAACTCCTTCAACGGTGATGTAGCCAGTGGTGAAATCAATATTAAAAAGCATGTCATCACTTTGCTCAACTATCAAGTAATTAATCACTGCATTGGCATCAGTGTCATCATCTGTAGAGGTGACTTTTATAATTGTCTGTCCAACAGGGGTATCTTCAGACACCTCTGTGAGAAAAATCTGAGAAAATAGAGGGGCATTATCATTTCTGTCTAAAACAGTGATGATAACAGTTGCTTTGTCTTTGTGAAGCGTGTTTTCTAGTTCTTCTGCTTCAACTGTTAAATTAAATTCAGGAATATGTTCTCTGTCTAAACTTACAGTGGTACTCAAGTAACCATTTTCAGGGTCAATTGTGAAGAAGTTACCGTGGTTTCCGTCTGTTATGTTGTATTGCACTGTGCCATAATAGCCAGAATCTGCATCAATTGCAAGTACATCACAAACCACGGTAGGCGGGGAGTTCTCAAAAACCTCACACCTGTACTCAGCTTGAGTAAACTGTGGAAAATTATCATTTGCATCAGTGATGTTTATGTGAATTTCAGAAAAAGAGGAGAAAGGAGGCAAGCCTGAGTCTCTGGCTTCTATCAACAAAGACAACTCTTTTTTGCTCTCAAAATCCAATGGTCTCTCTACTATCAGGGCTCCACTTGAATGATCGATGTGAAACATGTTTTCAAAGTTTCCAGAAGCGAGAAAAAAAGTGACAGGTTCAGCTCTAATACTCAGGGCAGATACCACAGCCACCAGTGTTTCCACTCGCTCATCCTCTGTGAGGGAATAACTCAGAACATCCACGTTCATCTTTGGGAAATCAGCGGTGTTCTGAAACCTGACACTAATAGTTGTGGTGTCAAATTTGGGATCTTCCCCAGAATCTTCCACACGCACAGTGACAATAACATCATCCACTGACTGTAGAGCTGCTGAAGTGAAAACAGTGCCACTGTAAGGATCGATTGAAAACATATCAGAGCTTTCTCCCTGTAACGAATAATGTAGTTCTGCATTGATCTCAGTGTCGTCATCTGATGCTCTCACTGCACAAACAACAGAGCCTGCAGAAAAAAAGGGGGGGGGGGGGGGGATAATACAATATTAATACGATTGCCAATATTACCCAGAATAAAACATATAGCTGTCAAATAGAAAGGTAATCTCTCACCTGGAGCTAACTCGATTGGCACATAGGCCACATAAGGCCCATTCATAAACTGGGGCCAGTGGTCATTAATATCTCCAATAAGTACAGTAACAAGCACAGAGCTGGACAGAGGCTGAATGGGATGCTTATCACTCGCAGTCACTTCCAAACTGTAAATGGCCACTGTCTCCCTGTCCAGTATGTTTGTTGTAAATAGCTCTCCAGATGTTTCATCAATGGCGAAAGGCACATTGAGGTTTTCCATAGAATAGCTAAACAAAACAAATAAAAATAAAGCAGTGCGCTATGCAAAACCCTGAAAGTTACTCTAATATAACACAGTCATTAAATTCAGAAGATTATCAAAATACTATAAAAGCATTTTGTTTTAAGAAACAAATTATCACATTTACCTTACTTCCCCACTGACACCCTCGTCGACATCAGAAGCGATTATCACAGCAAACACAGTGCCTATAAGACTGTCCTCAGGCACTATGGTGTTGTAGACTTCCTCGGTAAACTCTGGGTGATTATCATTGACATCGTCAACTATGATGTGCACAGTCAAAGTGCCTGTTAGGGATGGCAGTCCTTCAAATGACAGTGGAAGTCATCATCAAACAGCGTGAAGTGAGTATTAGAAAAACATAGACCATTATTTCCATACTGAATTAAGTATCGTGCAATTTTATTTGGATATAAGTTACCTGAATCAACAGCAGTGATGGTGACTATATATAGCGACTCCTTCTCTCTGTCTAAGGTGTGCAAAATATGAAATGTGCCACTGGGAGTGATAGAAAATAAATTATATCCATTTCCTTTCTCTGTAAAATAGGTAAGCTGACTGTTGTTTCCTAAATCTTCATCCAAAGCTGAGACCTGGCAAAATTTTTAAAAACAAAAAGAAAAAAACAATAACAGAAAATAAATAAATAAATAAATAAAAAGACAAACATTAAAATGCTGTTGTTTTTCAGCAGAATTTTACTGCACCTGATATGTTAACTGAGTTGGATCCTCCTCATTCTCCTTCACATGAATGGTCAATGTTTCTGGAACAAACTGGGGTGCAAAGTCATTGACATCCATCACTGTGATATGGATTGCAGCACTAGCAGATCTGGGTATGTTCCCCCGATCTACAGCAGTTATCATCAATGTGTAGTTTGAGTCCCTCTCTCTATCTAGTTCATCCATGACTGTGAGAACTCCTCGAATTATGTCCACCACAAATGGACCAATCTGGGCCAACATGTACCGTACTTGTCCATTGGATCCAATGTCTTGATCGTGAGCCTGAACCTGCAGCAGGCTTGTTCCCCTGGGGATATCCTCTCTGACTGTCAGGTTATAACTGCTTTGTAAAAACTCAGGGTCATGATCATTCACATCCTCAACATGCACTGTGAGTTTCATAGTGGTTGCCAGCATGGGTAAGCCTTCATCAGTAGCTATTATAGTAACAGTCAGAGTATCTACTTCTTCTCTGTCTAATAACTCCTCCAGGTATATCTTTCCACTTCTGTTATCAATGCTGAATATCCCACCGGAGGTGTTTAAATAATACAAAACCCTCCCGTTGGATCCAGCGTCTTCATCCTCAGCATGAGCAGTTATTACAACAGAATGCAGTGCAGTGTCTTCTGGTATACTAACACTTTCGGCTGAGACAAACATTGGAGCATTGTCGTTGACATCTTCAGTAATCACAATAACACGCGCTGTACTTGTGAATTGTAAAGATGCAGGCTGGGCACAGTCATTGGCTGCCACAGTCAGATTGTAGTAGGACTGTCTCTCCCTGTCCAGAGGTTTGTTAAGGCATAAGGTACCAGTTGAATCTGTGACAAACACTTCCTCGTCGTCACCACTGATCACTCTCAGTGTCATTTTTCCATTATCACCTTGCAGACAAGAAAATATAGCATGCAAATTATTAAAAAGGATAAAATGGGTTTAGACTTGTTGTCAAGTAATTAATCAGTTATAGACATTGATTATAGACCTTTCTTGGAAGCATAACTAAAAATGATAAATGCATTATATTATACTTTCTGAAAACACATTTGTATCATAATTCTTATATTTTCATTGCAGTTGTCTTAAACCTGTATAAATCGAAGGGCAAAATGAGGCGCTTGAATGTGAACTGTGAAAAATGTGTGGTTTTACATCAATGACTTACAGGGCTAAAGTTTAATCTAGCTGCTGATTCCTTTCTGTCATTTTATTTATATGAAATATGTTTTCTTAACAAATACACTATTCCACAGAATACTTGACAACAGCCTCTCATTAACTTTATCTGAACAGTGAAATACAGGGATGGTTATGGGTGTGATCCCCACTGACTACATGAATGTATAAATCATTTGCTTGAGGAGCAGCTCCAATAAAATAATAATAATAATAATGCAATGCGGATAGAATGTATCCTGTATTACTACAAATGCAGGATTCATTTATATATTTTATGTAATATAATGTACAGTCACTGGCCATTTTGTTAGGTACAGCTGTTCAACTGCTCTTTAACACAAAGGAATCAGCCAATCACATTGCAGCAACACATTTAGGCATGTAGACATTGTCGTGACAAACTGCTGAAATTGAAACTGAGTGTCAGAAGGCAAAAGAAAGGTGATTTAAATGGTTTTGAATGTTGTGTGACTGTTAGTGCTGGATGGATCTGGAAACCATCTCTAAGGTTTGCAGAGAATGGTCTGAAAAAGAGAAAATGTCCAGTGTGGCAGTTCTGTTAGAGAAAATGCCTTGTTGATGCCAGAGGTCAGAAGAGAATGGCTGGACTGCTTCAAGCAGAGACAGCAGGACAACTGTAACTTAAATAATCACTTGCTACTACCAAAATATTTAGAAGAACATTTCTTCTGCTCTTCTACATACTTCAAAACTTTGAAGCAGATGGGTTACAAAAGCAGGTGACCACACTGAGCGTCATTCCTGTCAGTTACATAATTCATGTGAGTGAAATTGGCCCCCCCACCTTCTTCAAATCCAACAAAAGTGGTATCAAACGTTTGTGCTACGTTTGTGCTGGTTTGTGCTGCAAAAATTTTCGTTTGTGCTACTATCATTTTAAAGATATTAATAAAAATTTCTAGAGGTCATCAGAGGTCAACCAGCCCCCCCACATTAATTAAATCAAACAAAATGGGTGTCAATCAACTGTGCTACGTTTGTGCTGGTTTGTGCTGCTAAAATTTTCGTTTGTGCTGCTTCTGTTTTAAAGATATTAATGAAAATGTAAAGGTCAAAAGGTCAACCAGCCCCCCCACATTACCCAAATCAAACAAAATTGATGTCAAACGTTTGTGCTACGTTTGTGCTGCAATAATTTTCGTTTGTGCTGCTATCATTTTAAAGATATTAATAAAAATTTATAGAGGTCATCAGAGGTCAACCAGCCCCCCCACATTACCAAATCAAACAAAAGTGGTATCAAATGTTTGTGCTAGTTTGTGCTGGTTTGTGCTGCTAAAATTTTTGTTTGTGCTGCCTTCTGTTTTAAAGATATTAATGAAAAGGTAAAGGTCAAAAGGTCAACCAGCCCCCCCACATTACCCAAATCCAACAAAATTGATGTTAAGTTACGTTTGTGCTGTTTGACATCAATTTTGTTCGATTTGAAGAAGGTAGGGGGGCCAATTTCACTCACATGTGTTTATAAGGTTGGGGAAACCTGCAGTCAGCTGAGACTGAAGAAGTCACTTGGATGAGTGACGAAACGTTTCTCCAACTGAAAATGTCCAGATGAACAGAATCAACCTTTTGGGATTTACTTACCTGGATGATTAAGCACGCATCAAGACGTTATTTTATTAAAAATTTTAAAATGTTAGCAGCACAAACAAACATTTTTGCAGCACAAACCAGCACAAACGTTTGACATCAATTTTGTTTGATTCCATTAATATGGGGGGGCTGGTTGACCTCTAGAAATTTTTGTTAATATCTTTAAAATAATAGCAGCACAAACAAAAATTTTGCAGCACAAACGTAGCACAAACGTTTGACATCAATTTTGTTTGATTTGGGTAATGTGGGGGGGCTGGTTGACCTTTTGACCTTTACATTTTCATTAATATCTTTAAAACAGAAGCAGCACAAACGACAATTTTAGCAGCACAAACCAGCACAAACGTAGCACAGTTGATTGACACCAATTTTGTTTGATTTAATTAATGTGGGGGGGCTGGTTGACCTCTGATGACCTCTAGAAATTTTTATTAATATCTTTAAAATGATAGCAGCACAAAAAATTTTGCAGCACAAACGTAGCACAAATGTTTAACATCAATTTTGTTTGATTTGGGTAATGTGGGGGGCTGGTTGACCTTTTGACCTTTACCTTTTCATTAATATCTTTAAAACAGAAGCAGCACAAACGAAATTTTAGCAGCACAAACCAGCACAAACGTAGCACAGTTGATTGACACCCATTTTGTTTGATTTAATTAATGTGGGGGGGCTGGTTGACCTCTGATGACCTCTAGAAATTTTTATTAATATCTTTAAAATGATAGTAGCACAAACGAAAATTTTTGCAGCACAAACCAGCAAACGTAAGACAAACGTTTGATACCACTTTTGTTGGATTTGGGTAATGTGGGGGGGCTGGTTGACCTTTTGACCTTTACCTTTTCATTAATATCTTTAAAACAGAAGCAGCACAAACGAAAATTTTAGCAGCACAAACCAGCACAAATGTAGCACAGTTGATTGACACCCATTTTGTTTGATTCCAATTAATGTGGGGGGGCTGGTTGACCTCTGATGACCTCTAAAATTTTTCTTGAATATCTTTAAAATGATAGCAGCACAAACGAAAATTTTTGCAGAACAAACCAGCACAAACGTAGCACAAATGTTTGACATCAATTTTGTTGGATTTGGGTAATGTGGGGGGGCTGGTTGACCTTTTGACCTTTACCTTTTCATTAATATCTTTAAAACAGAAGCAGCACAAACGAAAATTTTAGCAGCACAAACCAGCACAAACGTAGCACAAAGTTGACATTTGACACCATTTTGTTTGATTTGGGTAATGTGGGGGGGCTGGTTGACCTCTGATGACCTCTAGAAATTTTTATTAATATCTTTAAAATGATAGCAGCACAAACAAATTTTAGCAGCACAAACGTAGCACAAACGTTTGACATCAATTTTGTTTGATTTGGGTAATGTGGGGGGGCTGGTTGACCTTTTGACCTTTACATTTTCATTAATATCTTTAAAACAGAAGCAGCACAAACGAAATTTTAGCAGCACAAACCAGCACAAACGTAGCACAGTTGATTGACACCCATTTTGTTTGATTTAATTAATGTGGGGGGGCTGGTTGACCTCTGATGACCTCTAGAAATTTTTATTAATATCTTTAAAATGATAGCAGCACAAACGAAAATTTTTGCAGCACAAACCAGCACAAACGTAGCACAAACGTTTGATACCACTTTTGTTGGATTTGAAGAAGGTGGGGGGGCCAATTTCACTCACATCTAATTAACTTGGCCAAAAATTGAGCACAGAAGTGGAAGACTGTTGCTTTAACCCTTTCGTGTATGAATTATGACAACCTCAATCAGAATTGTTTTCTTAAGTTTTCTTATTCATCTGTAGGCATGAAAAAATATTTTTGAATTTCATTTTTTCTTAACATCTTGTCTTTTAAATGCCCACTTAGGTGGACAACATTACCTTTGGAGTGGGTGGCAGGGTATGGAGTGACACATCAGTTTCCAATGTAATGGTTTATGTGCAAGTACACACTGACACAAATACAAGAAAACGGCCTTTGAATAGCTGTCCAATGTAGTGATCACTATGTGTAAAAGAGTTAAGGTGAAAGTAAAATCCATTGAACGTATGATGGCAGTAACATTTTCTATTCACTTTGCACACTTACCCTCATCTTTATCTGACACATTCAGAGACAGGAAACAAGTTCCAATGTTTGTGTTCTCCAATAACACTGCAGAAAAGGTATCTTGACTGAAAACAGGGAGGTTGTCATTCACATCTAGCAAATTGAAATACACCCTGATACCAGATACCTGCAGATCCCCCTGCTGCGCCTCCACTGTGAGAATGTAGAACCTTTGTGCTTCAAAATCCAGGCTGCGGGTTAATAGGAACTCCCCCGAGAAAGGGCTGAGAAGGAATAGGTTCTCACCGTCATCCTCATGAACTGAGTATGTGATAGCTGTGAGACTCTCAAACTGTGTTTCCACTTTTCCCACAATTGTTCCTGTGAACACAGTGAAAAAAAAAAAAAAATAAATAATAATAGTGGATTGAGCAGCAAAGTTATGTCAAAATGGAATAATTTGAAGTATATTTGAAATGGGGACCCAAAGTTACACATTAATATTTCAAAAAATAATCTGTCAGCTAACATGCATATGCGCTTACATGGGGAAAGATGACTAACCTGGTAGTGTGTCTTCTTTCACTTGAAACGAGTAAACAGTTTTGGAGAAAGCCATCTGTGTTTGCCATCTGTTATGAGGGTGTAGGCTTACTTCACCATGCTCCAGCACAGCATCAACAGACGAAGGATACCAGGAGGGGAGCGTATGCTGCCCTAGTATGATATCTGCAAGCTCCCTCACACTACTTACATTCACCCTATTTCCAGATGAAAGTTTATGAGATGATGTAGTAATAAACACCTGAAGAAGGCAAGGAGTCACAGTTTTGAAGCAAGCATAAATTGTCAACTTCTGAAGTAATGAAATTATTGGAGATATGTAAAATGTGCTGGAAGCCTTAAACACAAATAGACATCTAAACAAAATTCGAAGCCAGTTATCAAAACACATCAACCAACAGGCCAACTTACCACAAAGTGAATAATAATAATTATATATTTCCTCCTACATCCGGTAGAATCCATTATAAAGTTTACTTCTTCAGCACCTCTTTGTTGACCATAGTTACAAAATCAAGTAATAATAGCACACAAAACAGACGTGGCACCAAAAGGTAAAATCCCAGAACTGTGCAGCCCCCACACAAGCCCAACAAATGGTAAAGTATTAAAGCTGTATCCATGGTGATTACTCAATCTGTTCAGTTTGTAATCCTGACTGACACGCCTCTTTGACATCACTCTATGCAAATCCTGCAGCTGGGGAGGAAAAAAAAGTTTCGTGGCACTTGAGAGTGAAGCAGATTACATTTTCTTTTCTATTTATTTGCTTGTGAAAAAAGCAAACGGTTGAAGAAAAATTACCAGGTAAAAAGCATTAATAGTATATCCAGCTATGGTTTACTGAATCAGTATGTTTTATATTCTCGACATGGATTTTGTTATTGAGGTTATTCAGCGTAGGCATGAAATGGACTCTCTGAACAGTTGCCTGCAGTTAGGTAGCCTAGAGGCAGACTTTGTTGTTGCATATCAGATGGGGGGGGGGTTTCATTCAGAGACAGAATGGCATTCATTCAATTGGTAAAAAGGGAGTGAAAAGAAGGGGAAAAAACTATTCAGAATCACAGGTCTCAAAACTGACTTGATATGATACTGTAAAGCAATGTCAAACAGACAGAAACCATTTGCCAACTACAAGGCAATATCTTTTAGAGCAAATGTAATTCATTTTTAATCATTTCAACTGATATTGAATTATTAACTTTTTATTTAATATTCAAAATTCAGTTGCTGCTGGACTCACTAAACTCTTCTTTCTAAAGAAACAGGGCTTTTACCATCTTTATGCTTGCTTCCAATAAAAAACAACTGTTGTGACCCTAATGTTAACTACATGCAGGAACACTGAGCTTGTTTGTGTGTCAGACCTACTGAAAGGAGAACACAGAGGTTTCATTCATATTCGCTAACACTTCTAAGAACGGTTACTGCAAAGGAAAACACTACTGAGAAAAGCCTGATGAATGGACATGTGAACCCCCTCTAAGTGATGGTGAGGCCACCGTGCCTGTGAGCTTGCCTCCAGTTACAGGGAATTGCAACTCAATACGACCAAGGGATCACAAAAGGTCCCTGCCTTGGGAAAGAGAGCACTTGGAGAAGGAGTACTTTTCTTATGTTCATTTGGTACTTGGCTGGGAATAAAAGATATCCATAATAATATCGTGTAGTGGAGCATCTTCTTGTGCTTTTTGCATTGATTATCCAAGCCTCTGGAACTCTCCAGGAGGAAAGCAAAAACTATTCCTACAAAAGAAATTCCCTAATCTGGTGTTTTGATCATTTTTTGGGTGACTGCTAACAGCTGTCCCTTTAAACCAGGCAGTGATCCTCCGTGTCCTACAGATGGAGTCATTATCATCCTGAAAAAAAAAAAAAAACCACTCTGTAGAACCTATATGGACTTGTCACTTGTGTGCGCATGACAAAACAAGTGTAGTTTAAAGTTTTTTAATGCCACACACACACATACACATACAGGTTTTTTATATCATGGCGCCACCTTCTGGATTGAGGTTGCTCAAACTACTGTAGCATGATCGATGTTTCTTACTTTCCAGAGTTTATAAAACATTGCTGAGGATGTGAATGCCTTAGCACTTTGCAAATAACAGCCATTGGGCAATATCTTTTTCTTATATTGTTAAAATCAATAAAAGTTTGTTTATTTTCCAATAGAACAAGGTGATATCCTTAATTGTGTTCGTATTACTTGCTATTGTCAAATATCTGACCTTCTGGTTTGATAATACTATGAGTCCAGTACTGGTAAGTAAGAATTATTACTTGTCAATTATCCTTAGTCATTTGTGCCATTAGCAATCTGTTTACATAAAAAGCCTCAAACTCTGAATTACTCATAGATTAACTAGTATTGTGAACTTGATTGAAAAAGGTACATTTATTATTCAAGACTTAAAAAATGGACTACTGACTTGACAGTTTTGCAGATAATGATGGTTATCCTCCACAAGAGGTTAAGTCTCATTTGTGAAAAAGGCAAGCTGTTTGCAGACTGCTGTATTTAAACATCTGTCTAAAAGGGAAGTGTGATATAAAGAGAAGATTGTCAAGGTAAGTCAAATCAGGAACTTGGGAGAGCTTTGCAAACAGAGAACTGAGGCCGGTGACAGAGGATTAAGATCCACCACACATGGACATCTAGTGGCTCAGTACTAGGAAAGGAGCTACAACTGCCGCATTCCTAATACTGAACCACTAGATTTTAGAGTACTTCTTGCTTTCCACTGCTGACAGGCTTTATAGAGATTCTTATTTCCTTTTACAGCAAGACCTAGAAGCTTCCCACAGCGCCAAAACTATCAAATAGCTTGCTGACCGCATTATTGGGCTGCTAACCCAAGAGGAAGATGAGAAACACCCAACACAGAATTACAGATGGACTGAAGGGCCCTATTTGCATGTAATGAATATAGAATACATGGAAGTTTGGTAGTTTTTAGATATTGTGAGATGATTAAAATTAGGAGGAAAAAAAAACAAACTTGTTAAAAAAAAAAAAAAAACGACCTTTATTGAAGACATTCTTGAATGTCGACAGCTGCATTTGATATTAGAGTGGTATTCAAAGAACAATAAAAAGACATTGGGACAGCACATAAAAAAATATTTTTCAAAATAAACAAAAATACACTAGCAACTCAGAAATCTCATTTTTGAGTTGGAACACCTAAGGACTAGTTACTTTCATACTTATTTGTAGTCCTCCTAGACTGTTACATAATATGGCAGGGATAAAGTACTACCACTAGAAAATTCCAAACGTAAGATATGTAGTGTTGACTTTACAAAAAAAAAACAAAAGAAAAAGGAAAAGGAGAATAACACTGTACATCTTAAAAACATTAAATATACACATGATCTTGGTCAATCTGACTTCGGTTTTTCAAGATGGTGAATTGAGATATAAGGATATATGGCATAAACAAAACTGCAGGTCCCATCCCCAAGTGAGCTACTCATCATCATCATCCTCATCTTCCTCTTCTTCTTCTCCTTCCTCCTCTTCTTCTTCATTGTCATCATCATCATCATCAGCTGCAGCAGCTGGTCCTGAATCCACTTTTCCCTTTGTGCGGTAAGCAACAATATCCTGTAACAGAGAGATGGGCTCTTTTCCATGCTCCACAGACAATAACATTTTTCTATCAAATCAACAAGTTTAACTTCCATGTCATTTTGTATTATCACCTTGTCATATTTCTCCTTCAACTTGGCAGCCTTCTTCTCATATGGCTGCTTTTCTTCTGCAGATGAGCTGTTCCACATCTCTCCCAACTTCTTTGCTGTGTCCCCAATGGAAAGGCCTGGATTTTCACTTTTTATTTTTGGGCAAAAATCTGCACAGAAGAGGAAAAATGCAGACCTGTGGGGGGAAAAGAAGGAAACGGAAAAAAACCAAAAACGTTGCCGTTTAATTGCTCAAAAAACCCCTACAGTCTGAAAGAAAATGAGAAAGTGTAGATTATAGCACATACGGTGGTCTCTTGGGGGCATTGGGGTCCTTGAATCGCTTCTTCTTCTGGCCCTTGGGAGGCACGTAATTCTTCATTTCCCGCTCATAACGCAACTTGTCTTGCTTGGCCATGTCTTCAAACTTGCCTTTCTCTTTTGGAGACATTGTCTTTGGAGAAACACAGCCAGTTTTAAACAATCTAAAAAATAAAATACTGAATTTAGAAAACTGAAAATAAAATCTAATATTATGAATAATTCCTTTTACCTTCCATCGCTCAGAGCATTTCTTGGAGAACTCTGAGAAGTTGACACTGGCATCAGGGTGTTTCTTCTTATGCTCCTCCCGGCACGTCTGCACAAAGTAGGCATATGAGGACATTTTGCCCCTCGGCTTCTTTGGATCCTTCCCCATTTTGGCTTACTAAATTTTAAGGAGAGAAAATACAGTTTTAAATTCAAAGTATACCAGCACTTTCATGCAATGTAAGTAATAGCATCTGAATGGCCCTCGCCAATTGTCTGCCTCCTACTCAATCAGTTCCTCACATCTATTGTTTAAACTGGGTGGTGGGAGGAGGGTGCCTGGGGTGACTGATGATCCATTGTATGAAGAGGCTAGCATTTATTAAAACTACAATCAGCTACACATTACTCTACTAGCGCGTTAGATCAAACGTTTACCTATACAAGCTAGTAAAAACAGTATAGTGCTGCTTAATTTTAGCACTCCGACAATATAACGTGAAGCTAACCGGCTAAAGGTTCTACGTGAACACATTAGCGTCCACCTCATTTGATTGTTCATTAGCTTTTAGCCATCTTGCTTTGTGTCCTCTTGCTATCAGCGTTAGCCTTCAAGCTAGGCTAGCATGTCACGGTGCTCATCTCGGGAGACGATTATGAAAATGGCTGATTAGACTGCTAACAATGGCTAGCTGCCCGTTTTTCAAACACCCCTTACGTCCTTCAGAACAAATTTGCCTGTTACTGCTGTCACCCCTCTAAACGCTAAATATTATTCGACTAAAAGTTTAGTGAAAGTCGTACTAATGCCGGAGAATGATGCTCTGCCTGTATCACCGTACTCCGGTTGCCTCAGCACCAGTCAACGGTATTAACCTACATTCAACAGCCAGCTAGCGCTAGCCTTTATGGTAGCATCCAGCCACCTTTAGCACGCACCACAGCAGCGGACGTTACGTTAAGCGAAGTGTGGCAGACAGTTAACTCGACCATCAGGGCTCTTGTCCTTTAACCCAATGGGCACTTTATTTTAGTTATTACTCATGGCCGTGGTGAATGTCACTGTACGGTAACTACTTAGCCAAGTTAGCAAGATAACGTTAAACACCAGGAGCGTGATACTGAGTTAGCATCCCATTCAGCTCAGCCATGCAACCAACTACGTACAACGTTAATGTATACTGTGCAAAGCATATCCCAGAGCATCGTTTCATTCATAAGAGCCGCACACTATTCGCTTTGTTTAAGATTACGTTTATAGTGCTTACCCCTACAGCGCTATATGAGGCCAGCAGCACGTCGGTACGTCTCAAACAATGGGACGAAAAGCACCGTCAGTGCGCGGTCTTTCGGCTGCGAGAATCCGTCTGTGTTTATTCTGTGTGTTGGGCACCGGCTGTCGGACATTGGCTGCCGCCAACTCCTTGGAGTATCTTATTGGACACGCGCTGTCAGTCCTGCTTGTTGAACGGTTGGTTGTTCAAAACACGGCGGTGTGATGGCGCTCGGCTTGAATGCCAGTGAGTTTAACTGCAGGGAAACACAAACGGAAAGAAATGCAGAGCCCATTAGTAAAAAACAAAAAGGAAAGACTAGCAATTTGAAGTTACTCCTAAGCTTACCTTAAAGGAGCATTATCAGCGAATCATATCGTTTACGTAACTCACTGCTTTGAGAAAGGGTGTTTGTCCCCGTTCTGATTTATTTATTGTCTATTTTACCACATGTACATGTTAAAGCAAGTTTTAATATTAGACAAGAATAAATTAAAAAAAATTTAAATGATAGTTTCATTTATCCAGCGAAATATTAATTATTATTAAATATTAATGAATTAGGTATGATTTAACACATTTTTTGAAAAGCGGAGTTCAATTTCACTGGCTATGGAAAGCACTTAATTAGGTTTTGACAAAATGAAGTGGTCTTTAGTGATGTGCGATTCCACTGATTTCTTTTCTGATCCGATACCAAGTAAAATCCAGGGTGGTATCGACGATACTGATCCGATACCAATACTTTGTACGAAAACTTAATGTTTCATTGTATTTCATAATACAATATATAATTGTATTATGTAATTGTAATAATAATATAATAATATAGCTTCATAATGATTACAGAACATTAGACTACTTGTTCTTATTGCTTAATAATGCAGAATTATCATATAGAAATAAAAAAAACTTGAAGTTGTGCTCTATTTGAGCATGTTGCCTGCCTGCAACACTAAAGGACTCCGCGAGATACGTCTGTCTCGCCCTAGCAGCACCTGTCCCTCTCCTCCTCTTCAGTTCACCTCAACATAAGCTCATCATATTCTGTGATATGATTTACTCTGAGGTGTTTGACGAGGTTAGTGGTGTTGCCACAACACCTCACTGTCTTGCCACATGTATCGCAAACCGCATCTTGGCTGTTTGTGGATGTAAAATACGTCCGCACATGACTCCGTTAACACTCTGCCATTGTACGCCAAGGGGCTGCCACACATTTATACAGGGTGGGCCATTTATATGGATACAACGTAATAAAATGGGAATGGTTGGTGATATTAAAGTCCTGTTTGTGGCACATTAGTATATGTGAGGGGGCAAACTCCTCAAGATTGGTGGTGACCATGGTGGCCATTTAGAAGTCAGCCATCTTGGATACAACTTTTGTTTTTTCAATAGGAAGAGGGCCATGTGACACATCAGACTTATTGGTAATGTCACAAGAAAAACAATGGTGTGCTTGGTTTCAACGTAACTTTATTCTTTCATGAGTTATTTACAAGTTTCTGACCACTTATAAAATGTGTTCAATGTGCTTTCCATTGTGTTGGATTGTGAATGCAACCCTCTTCTCCCACTCTTCACACACTGATAGCAACACCGCAGGAGAAATGCCAGCACAGGCATCCAGTATCCGTAGTTTTAGGTGCTGCACATCTCGTATCTTCACACCATAGACAATTGCCTTCAGATGACCCCAAAGATAAAAGTCTAAGGGGGCCAGATCGGGAGACCTTGGGGGCCATTCAACTGGCCTACGACGACCAATCCACTTTTCAGGAAACTTCATCTAGGAATGCTCGGACCTGGCACCCATAATGTGGTGGTGCACCATCTTGCTGGAAAAACTCAGGGAACGTGCCAGCTTCAGTGCATAAAGAGGGAAACACATCATCATGTAACATGTAGCATCATGTACAGCCATGTTTCACATATGACTATGAAAGGCGTAAGAGGAAGTAGTTCCTTCCAATTCAGACGATCCGAATGATATAGTTTCTTTCTACTCTGTTCCTTTTAATGATAAACTACAAATTTACCCCAAAGTACTAAAATATCGATATTTTAATATGAGAATCGATTCTACAACATAACTTACTGGTATCAGAAGAATCGATATTTCAGTATCGATCCACACACCACTAGTGGTCTTAAAGATCTCAAAAAGCACATCATGCAACAACTTTGTACAGGAAACCTTCCCAGGATTTTCCAGCCTACTAAAATGACTCAAAAGAGTGGATTGACAACTCGTCCATAAGGTCATAAAAGAACCCAGAGCAATATCTAAAAAAAACTCGCAGTCTCACTTCCCTCAGTTATCCTGCATTTCAGATTAAGTCGGAATTTCCAAGTTCCCAGTTGCAATTGTTATATTTATTTCAGTTCAATTAATTAACTTTTTATTTTTGGGCGAAAATCTGCACAGAAGAGGAAAAATGCAGACCTGTGGGTTGGAAATATGACAAGGTGATAATCATTTTGGATTATCACCATGTCATATTTCTCCTTCAACTTGGCAGCCTTCTTCTCATATGGCTGTTTTTCTTCCGCAGATGAGCTGTTCCACATCTCTCCCAACTTCTTTGCTGTGTCCCCAATGGAAAGGCCTGGATTTTCACTTTTTATTTTTGGGCAAAAATCTGCACAGAAGAGGAAAAATGCAGACCTGTGGGGGGAAAAGAAGGAAACGGAAAAAAACCAAAAACGTTGCCGTTTAATTGCTCAAAAAACCCCTACAGTCTGAAAGAAAATGAGAAAGTGTAGATTATAGCACATACGGTGGTCTCTTGGGGGCATTGGGGTCCTTGAATCGCTTCTTCTTCTGGCCCTTGGGAGGCACGTAATTCTTCATTTCCCGCTCATAACGCAACTTGTCTTGCTTGGCCATGTCTTCAAACTTGCCTTTCTCTTTTGGAGACATTGTCTTTGGAGAAACACAGCCAGTTTTAAACAATCTAAAAAATAAAATACTGAATTTAGAAAAAAAAAATTTAATTACAACAACAGTTGCCTTAAGATGTTTTTTTTGTTGGTCTGGAATGTCCCTTCGACTCCAATTTTCTTTTCTGAAAGTACCAGCCCCACCAACCTGCAGCTGTGCATAATACAAATACAGCATATTACAAAAAGCAAGTATTATGCTGTATTGTTTGCGACACAGGAATGGCTCTTCCTTGTTGAGAAGCAAATCAAATCCTGTTTTTCTTTATATTTATTTTAACTCGGGAGTAACAGCCCTCCTGAATTCTGTCACCCAACGTATGAGGTAATTGGAATGTGCTAATAAGGTCAGTGTTCATAATTCAACAATAAGAAAGAGACTGGGAAAAAAGTAGCATCCATGGGTGAGTTTACTGCTGATCAACAAGAATACATAGGCTTGTCTTGCATTTGCCAAAAAACATCCTCCAAAGAACATCCCAAAACTTTTGAGAAAATATTCTGTGGACTGATGGGACATAAGTACAACTTTTTGGAAGCCTTGCATTAAACTAGCATAGCATTTCATAAAAAGGACATCATACCAGCAGTCAGACATGGTGGTGCTAGTGTGATGATTTCAGGATGCTATACTGCTTCAGGTTCTTGTCGAAACTGATGGAACCATGAATTCTGCTTTCTATCAGAAAATCCTGAAGAATATTATCCGGCCATCAGTTTGTGACCCAAAGCTGTGAAGTACAGTTTGGTTATGCACAAGACTAAGTCTCTGAATGTCTCAAAAAATAATAAATAAAAGGATGGTTTTAGAGCGGCCCACTCAGAGACCGAGGTTAAATCCAATTGAAATGCTTTTGCGTGGCCTTAAACAGGTCATTCATGTTTTAAAATCCTTCACTGGGCCTAAATTAAAACAATCCCAAGACTCATTGCCAGTTATCACAAATGCTTGATTGTATATACTATAGTCATTGATGCCAAAAGTGGTCAAACTAGTTATTAGGTTTAGGAAGCACTCACTTTTAAGTTAGGGAATGTAGTGTTATCATTTTTTTAGCAGCAGCAAAAGTAATAATAGCAAAGCTTTGAGGTGACTTCTAATAGTAAAAACTTCTGAAGTCCATTTTTTGTGTGGACAAGGATGGATGAACAAAGCCAAAATGTTAAATGTTTACCTCCTGCAACTATGAAATATCTTATTTTATGTCATGTACTATTTTTAGAAAAAACAAATCATGATATTATCTAAAGTTTAGTTTATACAGTTAAAAGATGTGTAATACAGTTGAAAGAAGTGCAGTACAGAAGAATTGCCCATTTCTCTTTTAATGTTTTTTATTTATAAAATGTTCAGGAACTATTAAATCTATTGCTGTAAGTTATTTCTCTTTGAATTGTTGATGAGTTGAATATTGATTACTGAAAAATATACCCAAATGTACTTAGTTACTACCCACTATCACCAGTAACAGACATATAAGGCGCCTGTAACAATGCTAAATTTTTAATTCAACATCTCCCCTGCTGTGCTTCTGTTTAAATGTTGTAGGTCTCCATAACCACAGTGCATACTACATCCTGCTTGGATCAGCTTTGACACTGTGTAGATAAAGCTTGTGTACGTATAATGCTCTAATTTTAATACTCACAGGAATTGTCAGCATATGCTTTTCATCAGGATACCAATGAAGTAACTTTTCATCTAAAAAATTTAATGGATTTAAGTACACTGAAATCAGCTATAAGAGGAGATGCTAGAACAAACCACCAGTCACCAATGGCAACGCAAGGTAATGTTAAACCAAGGATAGGTAAACACAAAAAGAAACCCAGTATGGAACTTAAAATGTTTTCTTGCATTTATTTTGCATGTTATTGTAACATCAAAAGGTTTTGTTTAATTAACGTACATGTTATACCAGTTTTGTGTTTTTTAAACTTAGTTATCTGCTTTTTTATGTTTTGTTTTTTCTTCTTTTAAAATGTTTAGTTTTTATTATTTTGGGGTGTTATTTTTAGTTGTTTGTGGTTGTAATATGAGTATTTGTCAGATTATAAGATTTGAGAAGTTAGGAATTGTTTTGCCCACTATCACCTGTAGCAGACATATGCAATGTTCCCTCTAAACTGCATGCGTGCGCAATTGCGCACTGATGGCACGGTCCCTGCGCAGAAAAAATCTGCGTTGCGCACAAAAAAAAATCTAACCTGAATTGAAATTAAAATTAAAACTTTGACAATTCTGTTTTGCAGTGTTAGTCAATAA